CACGAGTCGGGGCGCTCTTGGACACGTCCAATTGGGCATCCAAACAGTAAGCAGCTGGGTCGCGGAGCCTGTTGGTGTGAGGGCAGTGTCTTTAAGCGTTTACTCGTGCGTGTTTGTGCAAGTGCTGGTTCCCCCTACCATTTGCACTGACATGTACGGGTGACGCTGGCTGAAGACACTGCCCTCTGTTTCCCCACACTGGCGGGCTCGTGTCCCTAACGCTTGTCTGTATGGTATGGTTACTTTGCCGTGCGCAGGGGCGTCATCATAGCTCGCTTTGGGGGGGAGGGGTGTAAAGAGGCGTGGCCACATATACTCCCAGACACAAGGGGGCGGTTCCAGCGGCAACACGCGGTTCGTGGACAAGGGGTTCGTGAGTACAACACTGCTGTCCGCCGCGGGGTGCTGGCCCCCTTGTGAGAGTGTGGGTGTGTATGTCACGCCTTAGAACTGGAGTGTGAGAGAGCGTGTCGCGCGCGCGCATTCGTTTTTCTGTGAGTGTACATGAGTGTAAATTTGTACATGACTGTATATATTACGCACATGTCTGTAATTATGTATGGATGAGTCAGAATAGCTGTAAATATGTGAGGATGAGTTATCATAGCTGTAAATATGTGTGAGTGGGTGTACATATATTGTGAATATGAGAGTGCATTAAATTGTCAATAGGCAATAGGAGTGCACGGGAGTATATTAGAGTGTGCGTGTGGGTGTGAACGGGTGTAAATGACTATGTGTGAATGTATGTACATAACTGTTATGAATGAGCGTACATATCAGGGTATAAATGACTGAATGAGAGTACACACATGGCTGACTGTAAGTATGAAGTGGGGATGCTTCTGCATACACGTCACGAGGAGATCCCACAGCTAGCAGCGGGCACTGAGGGCCTGTCGGTGTAAGGGCAATATTTTCGCGCATCCACTCGTGTGCATTTGTGCATGTGCTGGTCCTATAGCACATGCACTCTCGCGCAGGGGTGAGCTGCTAGAAGATACTGCTCTGTTTCCCCACACCGATAGGCCGGTGCCCCCAATACCAAGAGCTCGCCGCTAATCGAATTCACCCGACTCGGGGATCTGCCAGAAGATTTTCTTCCGTCATGGATCCAGACAAAAGCCACCATTTTGGCACTCTTCGCCCGAATTCGACCGTGACCTTCAAAAATCAAACGCGCTTGTTTTTTCAAGGAAAATCAAAAGCGTTTGTTTTTTCAAGGTCGCGATTCGAATCGGTTGAATTACGCCGTTATGGTAGCTTTTGTCTTTTTTCCGTGGCGGTGAAAATATAAGGCAGACCCCGACTCGAATTCGATTAGCATAGGGACTTGGTATTGTGACGCTTGTCTGTTTGGTGACCTCGCCGTGCGCAGGGGCGTACCCAGTGCTTGCGGGCGAGAGTGAAGAGGCGTGGCCACATTATACACATTCAAGGGGGCGGAGCTAGCGGTGACACGCGGTTCACGGACACGGAGGTTCGTGAGTACAACACCACTATCCGCCGCTGGGCGACCCCCTTTGTAAGTGTATGTGTTGTGTGTCACGTCGGTGAGTATGTGCGTGCAAATGCTAGTGTGTACTGAGTGTCTGTACATGGCTGTAAATATATTATTTGTGTGTGAACATGGGTGCATGGCAGTACGTACGAGCGGATGACTGTAAATATGAGTGAATGAGCGTGCATGGGTGTAAATATGTGTGAATGAGAGTACGTGGCTGTAAATATGTGTGAATGAGAGTACATGGCTGTAAATATGTGTGAATGAGAGTACATGGCTGTAAATATGTGTGAATGAGAGTACATGGCTCTAAATATGTGTGAATGAGAGTACATGGCTGTAAATATGTGTGAATGA